TGGCGACTTCAACGCGAAGATCGGGATGCCACTAAGAGGAATATAGGATCGGGAAGTTTGGATATGGGCTCCGAAATGAAAACGGCAACCGTCTCGTTGGGCTTCTCTCCACCCACGACTTTTTCATGAAAATTCCATCTTCATGAAGAAAGTACATCGCCGGTGGACTTGGGAATCGCCCAACGGAACGACTCATGCGGAGATCGACCACATTCTCACCAACCGAAGGTGGAGCTTGCTTGATGTCTCAGTAGTTCCATCCTTCTGCAGTGGCTCCGACGTCTCTTTCGAGCGAAGATACGATTCAGTTGGAGGCTGGAAAAGAAAGTCTGTCACAGTGCCGCAAGAAGGAAAGAAGTCGTTTATGACGGTAACAGGCCGGAAAAGCGCATACCAAGTTGTGACTGGCCCATCGAGGAGGATTCAACGTACGACTACGACCGCATTCAGTTCATGAAGAACGCCCTCTGCGAAGATGCAAAAATGGAATTGAAAGGCTACTCTATCATGGAGACGTCCTCTTACTTGTATCTCGGACGTTCGATAAACATGGAGAACGACTTGAGGGAAAAACTCAACAGGAGAAGAAGAGCAGCCTGGGCTGCCTTTGGGCCTCTGAAGGAAGCCACCGACCAACTGATGGACTTGAAGCTTCGTGCCCACCTGTTCGACACCGTTCTCCCGGCACTCTATTACGCAGCTGAGACTTGGGCCGACACTGCAGCCAGGTCGAAAGCTTTACGGACCACCCACATAGCGCTCGAGCCCAGCCGTCTGAAGATGACCCGACGCAACATCTAGTTGGATCTCGCAGTAGGGACATGAGAAGAATGTCCCGTTTGTTCCCGACCCAGCGGAATACGTTGCGAAAGCGAAACACGATGGGCCGGTCACATTATGAGAAGAACAGACGACGGATGGACACTAAGAACATCGGAGTGGATTCCTCCAGAATCAACACGTCCCCGAGGATGACCTCCAACGAGATGGGCAGACTCGTACGTGGAATGGATGGACCAGGTGAGAAATCAGCTGGATACAACTTTCACCCCTGGAACTCGTGGTCGCAGCCACCGACGACGAACAAGAAGATCGTGGAAGTCTGAAGCCAGGGACAGGGATCAATGGCAACTTCTGTACTGGGGCCCGCACACCACGTGAGGACGGGTCATCCAAGTGTCTAAGTGAGTAAGTATGTGCGAATCGTCTTTCGCTAGGCGCAAGCAAGCTTCTCGTTGGAACGTGCTCAATTTTAAGACTTCTTCATTTCGATAGCGCAAGTTTGTTTTCCGTTATATTAGGTTGTAAAGAAAGTTCCTGGGCACTTTTGAAAATTCCATTTTCAAACGCATTTTTTCGCGCTCGGTTGTATTTTGACACCAAGTTTTTATAATGTTCAGTAGAGGAAAGCCTGAAGTTTTCAATACGCCTTCTGAATTTTATCAATGCCAAGATGTTTGATCTGCACATCAAGAAGGGAAATTTTTTCACCATAAAAACTTCTTAATTTTTCTTCCTACGGCGATTTTTTGTGCAATTCAAAGAATTTCGTACAAATCATGGGTGATCTGATTGAGAACCTTGTCAACTGACCCGCAGGTGCACTCGAGTTTTGCGATTTGCGCTCAGAAATTACAGCTTTGAACTTGCCTCTAACTGCAACTCTTTTCGCAGCTGGCGCCGCTTCTGCAGGGATCGCCACGCCTGGATGATGGGTCCAAAAGATGTGCATGGCGTTAGCCCACCAATGTTGCCAGTAATCAAAGATTTGGTCTTTTCTATGCAGAACCAGAAGACTTGAAAGTCAGTTACCCGAAAAATGGTGCATTTTTGGGGGCAAAAAATGGCCGATTTTCAAACTTCCTGGGGAAAATTTTTTTGCATGTTGTCCTTCAAAAACATGAATGGTCCCCATAGCAGCTCCAGCAGACCTCTATTAACTACAGTATCTGAGCTTTCTAGCTCTCATCCTGCTTGAGACAATCCTGCACAAATAAGCCACTTTTCGCGATGACCTTTTTCCTTTCTGCGCTTGCTGGTGGACCGCAGTGAGGTGTTGATTTTCACTATTGATTCCAGGTGAGGGCGGCAAATGGGCAATCCTGCAGGATTTCAAGGTAAGTGTGCTTTCTTCAATATTGTCGGATGTAGAAAGAGTAGACTATCTCTTAGGCAATGCAAGTTTCAATTTCCTTCTGACTAACATCGAAAATTTTGTTTTTTGTGCCGATTTTACAATGAGAAGCTGTTTTCAAACATAGGATCTTTAAGCAGATATTTTTGCTGTTAATGCGATGTTTGTGAATTGCATGTATCTTATTCGGCATCGCAAAGATATTTGGACGGATGGTAAGTTAAGTGCGAATCTCCTTTGTTCCTTTGATATGTCCTGTTCGCTTATCTCCTCGGTTGTCCGGCCGTAGTATGTTTGATCGGCTCTCAGATCCTTGTGGAGGCGGGCTGTGAACCTTTCCTGATTTGAAGGATAAACTTGTTGAAACTCCGCAATATAACATTACTTTTCGTACTTTCTCGCTATCAAAAATCGTCCCGCTTTGAGATGGCAAGCCTCCACCTCCACACGAATCTGCGAGCTAGTGATACATCAATTTCGCTCACACCTCAGGAATGACCTCAACACAAAAACTTTGACTGAATCGTGAATCAACTGAATCACTCGTGAGTTATCACTTCTTTTGCATCAAGTTTCACACTATGAGCTTTCTATATGAGCCACAAGTCTCTGCTTAACATCTTCTTTCAAAGCTTCATCTAAGTTGCCTTCTCATACAACACATATTGCCCCCTACGCACAATGGCAGGGTTCCCGGTTGCTCATCAAGGGTGTTTTACTTCTTTGTGAGAAAGTGAACCCATCGCTGTCAACTGAAGAGCCTTGAAGCTTCACGTGCAATACAAAGGGTGGCTTTGTATGATCCTCTAAGTTGATTGTCTACGTAAACTTTTCGAATTCTCTGCATGAGCATTGGCATGTGATCATCTTTCAAAGGTTTTGTTAGCTGAGAAACTCCAAATATTGGCTCCCGTCTAGGACTTTTCTTTTCAAAAGAAAGTGATTTCCTTGACGTAGCAGCTAATCAGGGAGCAGTCCGATGGCCATTTATCATCCATCGTTTCGTCGTGTTGTGATTGACTATCTCAGTACCCACTTTATACCTTCCAAAATGGACTTCATTCTGACGATGAGAACAAGTTTCTTGAGTCTTTCAGCCCCATTAAGCACGCCTGTTGGGCACCGCGATAGTCACACTACTAACCATTTGTTTTATCTCTCCTAAAACCTGTACGAAATTGGCACCCTGGATATCAACTTATTCTTTCGTTTTCTAGACAGCTTAATGCGATGGAAGCTAATTTAAATGACGCAAGGAGAGCAAATGCGGGTTCGCAGCCGCCTCTACAACTTCTCCAGCTGGTTGGTTATCTTAATAATATTAGTCGTAACATCTTCGAGAACTAGGTGATGTGGAAGTTTTCAACTTGGAAATTCTACGTTGCAACTCTTAAACTGAGTTAAAATGGGTAACCAAATGAGAGACTACCCCTACAGGGACAATAACGGCGCAGGTGTTGTGCTCTGAAGCTCCTAAAATCGCCCCAAAGTAGTTTAAACGGGTCACCAATGGAAGTGCAATCAGACTGATTTTGAGAGCTACAATAGCGGTGAAAATCACGTCCTTAAATACGAAATTTAGCCTGCTCCATCCCGCGATGTAGATGCTACAGCATTCCTGCGCATGTACCTGGACGCATACGCGGTAATTCGACAACAAGCCTATTTTTAACGTCGGTAGGTGAATGGACTAGAATTTCAGATAATGCATCCCGAACATGTCGTAAGGCCTACTCCACCGCCGACACAACCAGCCCCCGTGGTCAGATCATGAATTTTGCTTCTGTGATACCCTCTTGCTAGCTCCAGCTAATTTGGGTTTTCTAGGAGAATGATATTCTAGGGGTGAAACTCCGCAGTTTGCGTTTTGATACGTTCCAACATCTTAGCAGAAGTTACTGGAGGAAGAAGCAGGGACGAGTTTGAGGAAGCGTATAGCGAGGAAGTTACACCCACAAGCCACGGAAATCATTGGAAAAGTCAGGACTTTTTTCACTGAGTTAAAGCAGAAGCTGGGTAAATGGCATCCAAGATGGTTCCAACTGCGTCGGAACCATCTTGGATGCCCCAGTGAAAATGGCAGCGCTGGCCTGCGGGGTTCACCAGCGCACGGTGATCAGATGCACTCGACCGAACATCGTCCAAGGCCATATCCAGCAAAGAGCTGCACGCGTCGGCACAAGGAATCACATGAGGATGACCTTAGTGAAGAAGTATGGGCAGGAATGGACTCAAATTGTTCGGCGATACGTCCACAGCAAGCTAAGAGAGGAGCTGGACGTGACGGTCGAGGGCATTCGTTGTGGCCTGGCTGAAGCCTACCCCTCGTTCACGATGTCAGAGACAACATTACGTCAATTTCTGCATGGGATAGGTTTTTCGTATAGAAACAACGACGGTCAGCGTCACATATTCGAACGACCTGACCTAGTCCGGCTTAGAGCTTCTTACCTGGATAGGACGGAAGAGGCGAGGAGTCAAGGTCGTTGCCTAGTCTTCATGGACGAGACTTGGGTGTTCGACTCGATGACGAAAAAGAAGGGATGGAAGGACACCACCATCTCCCGTTTCACCCCCGCAGCAACGATGGAAGAATATTCTTGCGGCAAAACCGCAGCGAAAGACAAGGGGCGGAGGGCGATAGTCATTGGGGCGATCACAGAGGAGGGTGTTGTTCCCGGAAGCACGAAGGTAGTCTTCAGTTCAGGAAGACGGACAGTATATACTGATTATCACCGCGATATGGATAGCTTTCTTTTTGAGAAATGGCTGTAAGATACCATCCCGCAGATGCAACGTATCGCGGCTGGTCGCCCAGTAGCGTTGGTCATGGACAACGCTCCATACCATTCTCGTCAACTGGAGAATGTCCCGACCACCCCTACTGCCGCTTGATCTGATCGCTGATTTACAGGTACCAACAAGATCCTCCACAAAAGCTGAGATTGAGGACTACCTCAGGAGTAAAGTGGTGGTGGCAGAGAATAGTACAAAAGCTGATCTTTTGGAAGAGGTTCTAAATACGTTAACAAAATCGTCTGCGCGATCGAAAACGAATCAATTCAGCTCAGTATTTACATCTCGAGCCGAGGCGGTATAGCAGCTCTATGGTGCTATGCAGCCGAGAAGATCTGTGAGGAGAGAGGAGTAGCAGTGATAAGGCTGCCGCCTAATCACTGCTTCTTCAATCCGATTAAGTTCTACTGGAGCCAACTGAAGGTCCACCTCAGAAGGATTGGGAAGCCGGGAGACACCCTGGAATTGGTATTGATGTCTACAAAAGCTAAAAAGAAAACGCATTCTATTTCCAGGTAAAGACTAGGACGCTGGAATGGATGGAAACAATGCCCCCCTCGCTGTGCTATAGCTGGGCACAACATGTTGTTGGTCAGGAAGCTGCGGCAAGACTAAAGATTGCCGTAGACCTTGCCAACAACAGCAGCATATTAGACACTCTGTGCTCAGAAGAGTCTTCATCATCAGATGATGATGAAAATCTCTCTTCTGAGAACGATGAGAATGATCCGAACCTAGCAGAGGACATTGCTATTGCAGAGGACATTGCTGAGCGCCACCGTATGGATGAGGACTAACACGGTCCATTAGAGCTTTGATTACTTCTCCCCTAATTTCACTTTTCTCACAATTTAGATGTATCGCTTGTTTGTAAATAGGTCTTTCTCACAATTTAGAAGTATCGTTTGTAATTAGATCTTTCTCACAATTTAGAAGTATCGCTTGTAATTAGGTCTTTGAACTATCCGACACTTGCAATTTGATACATGAGTCATAGTCACTTTCAGTAGTGCTGTAGACTGATCATTACCTAGGTAATAATTATGCCCGGTACACTTATGTTGGCTTTCAAAGCCAAGAACGCAATAAATCACGTCAACAGACACTTAGTTGTACTTGGGATGAAGGTCTACCACATACATTCCACTCATTAATCTACAGGGATTTTCAACCTGAGTGTCACGGTCGGCACCGCTCTCGAGCCGCCTCGCGCTTTCTCGCCGCGTTCACTCTTAAGCAACAACATACGGTGCGGGCCACGACAAAACAACAACATACGATGCGGACCCCAAAACAACGCAGCAACAACAAAGCGAATAACTAGAACAACGATGCAACGCCAAAGTCTCGCCGACCGTGATCAGGTTGAGGGCCCCTGTACAATTAGAGTTCGTAGCTGCGACTGGATTGGCCGGAAACACTATGGCGAAAGAAGAGGGAACAAGGAAAGATATAATAAAACAAACTGATATAATAAAAAAACTGAATGTAGCAAAAAAAACCGAGAGGGTACGAGCAAAACAGGAAAAGTCATCATAAACGAACGTAAAATACTCACCTTACTATCATCTAGCGTCTCTGCAATGCTACTACCGAGTTCAGAAAAAGCTTCGCATTGTAAAATCGGTACAAGAAACAAAATTTTCGATGTTAGTCAGAAGGAAGTTGAAACTCGCATTGCTTAAGAGATAGCCTACTCTTTCTACATCCGACAATATTGAAGAAAGCACACTTACCTTGAAATCCTGCAGGATTGCCCATTTGCCGCCCTCACCTGGAATCAAAAGTGAAAAATTTTGGAATTTGCGATCTAAGACGGCAACGCACAGTATAAAGGTAACAAATCATCAAAAACCAGACGCCGCGGAGCCAAAAACAGAAAAAAAGCACCGGAATAACTCAGACAAATCTGCGCGCAGGCGGCGCGCACTAAATCAGCGAGCGATGTACCTTCCCGCCGCCTGTGTGTGCAGTGCGCGCCGCCTATGGATTGAAGGCCCGCCGCCTGCACGCTACGAGGAAAATTTTGGCAGGAATCTGCTCGGATTTTTGTTGTCGGTCTGAATATCTTATGCTTGTTGGACAATATGGTTTCACAACTGTTTTATTAACGAATAATATTTACAATTTTCAAATTTGACAGGTTTTAACACAAATTGCAACAAAAATACAGTATTTACAGGATAAGGCTGTCTTTGACAGCTGGCATTTAATACTATTAGCTTAGGTAGTACTTACAAAATTCACAAACATTTTAAAGTCAACAACAACAAGGTATTTACATTCAAATGTGTTATCAACAAGACGTGTGTATGAAGTAATGAATACAATGAAGTTGATAGTAATGAATGCAACAGTATGACGAGATAACTTGAAATAACTGCCAATAAAATCACTAATCGTAAGTACTTTGATAAACAAAGTGAACATGTATACATAGAAATGCATAATATATGTACAGTTTTAGAGGATAAAATATGAAAATGCGATAGCAACGAACAAAACGCGGGCATGCTTGATCAGCCAGAATTAAATGCTCAAGGACTTCATATACCCAATTCAATTACAGGAATAACACAGTTGGATGACGAGGATATGATGGGTATAAGCATGAAAATTGGGATGAATGATGAGACATAAATAATCTGGATCAGCCTCGTCCTCGTTAGTTCTCGTATTGGCTTTTGTTCTATCAAGAGTTGCAGGAATGCAGGAAAAAATGCATTTTTTCACCTCTTCAAGATAAATAGTCAGGGCTGAGGTTTCACGACAATAAATTGTCTTGATTCTTGGTAATTGGGGTCATTGTAGATTGGTGGCTGAAACACAATAATGTTTTTAAACAAAATGCCTACTTTGGCTTCAAAAAGCAAGACTTACTCTTTTGCGGTCGACTTCTTCTTCGGCATTCGCACATAGCCATCATTGTACTAAGGCAGTTGTGACCTGAATTAAACAATGCTTTTATCTTGTGAAAAAAGAGGAGAAAGAAATGGCAACGGAAAGAAACGAAGGAGGCGCAACGACGTAAGAAAGCGTTATTGATTGAAATGAGCGTCCCTGTGTCACGGGGTCAATATGATTAAGAACCAGAGATAGGATAAAAGATATGGAAGACTGACTGAGAAACAAGAGTGAATTTGGATTAAATAAAAGAGGACGTGCTAAAAAAGGCAAAAAAATCGCATACTTGACTTCAAAACAATTTAGAAACAGAAAAAGATGTGAAACAGCAGAGTAAAAGCGAGGTAATAAACAACACAATACTTTGTACGAAAAAAACAAGGAGGAACGAGGAGAAACGACTATCTGCAAAAAATTCTGCATTTGCGCGAAAGCAGCGTCCTCCTTCGCTTACGTGATGCTACAGAAAATTCAATGCGCGCCGCCTGCATCAGGCTGTGTTTGCGCGCCGCTTGCGAACACGCGTTGCGCGCCGCCTGTTGGCTGAAATCAGCGCGCGCCGCCTGTGCGCTGCAAGGCCACGCCCACAAATCACGGCGCGCCGCCTGCCCTGTTAGCCGTGAATGCGCGCCGCTTGCACGCAGAATTGTCTGAGAAGAAAAACGGGCAAAATTAGGCGTCGAATCTTAGCCGTACGCGCACCTGGTGCAAGTACGGCACGGCGCGAACCCCGCACCTCATCCGGGATTTCAAAATTGTGTGCAATAACACACACGTCACCGAGAGGTGACTAGACGGATGACGTCTACTATATAGACGAAATTGTCTTTGCAATGAAGTTTGTAGCTTCAATAAAAAACCAATCTACTTGAAGTTACAGCGACTTGAAAAAAAATTTTGGCAAGTGCCCGGGAACTTTCTTTAAGACGTAATTTTGTGGCAAACTGTAGAATGATATTCCAAGACGTCTACTCTCGAAAAGTGGAAACTTTTGTGCTGGAGCCCAACGCCACGTGAAGATGGGCCATTTAAGTATCTATCAATTACAGGAATAACATTATTATCTCAGTACATCAACTCAAGGTGATCTAGAGTTGCGCCAAGTACACCATAAGACAGCTCCGAAATTTGTCAAAAATTTGAGTACACCATTCAAACCGCTTCACAAAGCTCCCCATTATCATTTGCTGAAATCAGCGATACAAAAATCAAACTGTAAAGGTTCAGTTTCAGTACTCAAGAAAAAAATTTTAAAATGCAGTTGATTTTGAGTACAATATGCTAAAGATTCTATTATCCTAAATAACAAAAAAAGAAAGGGCTAATTGTTACATGCCGTAAATCTGTTAAAAGCCAGCTCCACAGGGAGTTTGGCGAAAGACATAAAGCAAGAGAGACTTCAACGGTCCAGTAGGGCATTTTTGGAAAACTCCGTATATATCTCGTTGTCTACTCATTTTGGAAGCCCTATAACCTTGTTACCTCAGAATAATGAATGACTACGCAAATTCATATGGATGTTCATAGGATTGAGATAATGTATCAAGTCGTTCCCAATGTTTTATTCAGATGTCCGCCACTTCTCGCGGAGCATGATTAGTAAGAGTCTTGGCAGCATTTGATGTCGCATTCATCCCCCTCTTCAATGGTTATAGACTCGTTGCAGCACAATCAGTGAGCTCCCAGAAAATTAGAAAACAACATGACCTATGGTTTTTTCCCATGGTAAACTTTCGCTATTTTTCTAAACTTTGCTAGTGATTCCTCGCAGTAATTTAAGTAATGGATGATCAGAGCAAACCCTATAGGATACAAAACAATTTATTTCTCTAACCATGATTTGTTATAATAGTTTAGAGAAAAATTCCAACAAAATCGACTTTCAGCAGGTCTTCGTCGGACACTTTCGCATCAAACACCAAAAATCATCCGAACTTACTTTCGAAAACTAGGTTTCAATACTAAGCGAAAAAAGCAAATGAGCGCTTGCAGACTCGAAAAATCGAATCTTAAGTTTGCCACCAGGGGGCACGCTCATATTGGCGAATACTTTACAAATCGGAGAAAATTCATTTGAAAGGTTGATGTTGCATGGAATTGAGTTGACCAAATGTCAAATTTGATAGCATCAAAGAAATGGATCTAAAAATATTGAGAAGAAAGCTATAAAGGGTAGAAAATTGCTTTGTATCCTGTAAGGTTTGCTTTATGTATACAAGTTATATGCACTTCTTCGGGGACCTAGTAAAAATTTCAGGAAAATGGCGAACTTAGCAATTTTTCCGAGAGCTCAGCGATTGTGCTGTGGTGAGTTTAAGATTTTCAGAAGAGATGCTGCATCGAACATTGCCAAGATCTCTCAAAAATCCTTGTTCCACGAAGTGTGGCTTTTATTTGAAAAAAGGCGAAATTAATTTTGATACGACTCAATATATTAGGGAGAACGGTGGAAAATGGCTTGAATTCTATTATTTTGAATTTTTTGTTTCGACCAACATCAAGCAGGCTGCAACTTAAACGTCGCTACATAAACGACCTTCGCCTATTATTCTGGTCACGTCTTAACGCTTCTCTCGCAACCCCACGCTGACGCTGTGAAGAACTCGAACAGGGTTTTTCGAACATCTCTCAATTTTGCGCTGCTATATCGTAAAGTTATAGGTTGCTGCAAAAATAATGTCCGCTTTGCAAAATTTCACTTTCAAAAGCTATAACTTCGTTCAGCTTTCATATTTTTGAATGCAACCATGACTCAGAACCAGTAAACCTTTCGTTATCGAGCGCTTACCTGCTTATACTGATATGGCAATTAGGAGGATAACCATGCGTCAAAAAACCGAAAGTTTTTATTTTGAAAACCTCGTATTCGAGAGATTACAACTCTCTTCAAGTT